TCCGCAATGTTGCGAAGGTTTCTCACGGCCTTTTGTTAGGGTCTTAGGGTTTAGGGTTTAGGGTTTTGGGTTTTTGGGGCTTTAGGGTGTTAGGGTTTAGGGCTTTAGGGTTTTAGGGTTTTAGGGTTTTTTTGTTTTAGTGTTTTTAGGGTTTTAGGGGTTTGGGGTAGGTGTAGGAGCTCAGGATCGCAAGGTTTTAGAAAATTGTTGGGAGCTTCCTCGGGAAATTTCGGGAATAGCCGACTCCTCAGGCCTAGGGTTCACGCTATGGAAATGGGTAGTTCCCGAAATTAGGGTCCGTTTTCAGGTCCCTAGTAGAGTAGGGCACCCTTATAAAAAGGGTCCTTTTAGGGACCCTAGTTTAGAAAACTATCCAAATACCGTCAACCCTTATGTAAACTTGCAAGACCCTGTAAGAGTGTCTGCACCGCCCCTCATTTACAGGATTTGGGGATGGAGGGCCCAGGGTTTGGGAGTTCGGGTGTGGGTTTTTGGCATTTGGGCACTTATAGCCCTGCTGACTGAGTCCCGTGATCCTTGACGTAAGCCCTATAATCCAAACTCAGAAGCCTTGTCCCCGTAAGCTTTGACTGAAGACACTGGTTCGTGATTGAAGGATTGAATCTGGCTGAACGGACTTAGAGTTTAAATTGTTCCGAAAGCTTGGATTAAGCAGAATCACAGTCGAAGCAACCGTCGCGTGGTTGAGGGTACAGGGGTTTCGGGCTAGATGTTTAGTGTTCAGGAGCTTAGGATTTAGGGTCATGTCTTCTCAGGCCCAGATCTCTCTCGCGACAGTGCTCGGAGGGACTCCCATCAACACCGACAGTGCCATCGCGTGCTTCGGCACCACCACGCCGGCTTGCTGTCCACTCCGATTCCATCGCTCTGACGGTTGGGGTTGAGGGTTTCTGGTCGAGGGCTCACGGTTTAAGGACGCTTGAAAACTCTCGCTAGCCTCTGTGAGACCAGCCGCAGATCATGCCCATGGAGACTGGCCCGAACACCATCTGGTATGGAGTTCATGGGGTTTTAGGTTTTTGGGGGTTTTGCTCAAGGTTCAGGTTTTAGAATCTGTCTTGAGTTTGGGCTGTAGGCTTTGATTAGGGTGTTGGTTTTAGGGTCGAAGACAGGCCTAGAGTCTTGGGAGCTACCGATGTGTGCTCACCTCTTCGCGTCGGCCCATCCGAAGATGGATAGTGCCGTGCGTCACATTCCTGGACCCTGTAAGGTTTAGAGTTTAGGGTTTAGGGCTCTGGACCCCTAAACCCTACACCCAACTTTCCATGACATGCTGGAACCTGGATGGACCATGCGATGCTATTCTGTACAGACCATCCTTAAACCCTCATGGAAAATCCTATCTCTAAACAACCGAATATAGATTGAATTGTAGAAGGATCTTGAAACTTCATTAAGCTACATTCCTGAATTGGCAGGCGTTTTAGTCGGGCACAACCGGTATAGAGACGCCTAAAGACCCACCGAAAGCCATAAACAAAAAGTGTCGAATCCCATCAAGTATTTTAGTCTATGGGCACAACCGTTATAGAGCCGCAGAATAAAGACCCACCGAAAGCCAGAAATAAAAAGTATCGAACCCTATCAAGGCAACTTAAAACCACATTCAAACGCTCGTAAAGCCCTGCAAAAGTCTCTCTTCTACAACCCCATAGGACCCAAAGAGCCTCACCCTAAACCCAAATCCCTAAACCCCTAACCCCTAAAACCCCTCAGCCCCGGATCCTAAACCCCCAAAACCCCACACAATTAAACCCGAACCACCCCGTACACCTTCATTATCCCAAAACCCCAAAACCCCTAAAGCCCATAAAAACACCTAAAAACCTTAAAAGCCCGAAACACCCTGGAAACCCCTAGAACCCCTAAAAACCCCCTAAATCCTAACCCCCCCTAAAACAGTGGCCTTCCACTTGTTGATGCCTTGGTTCACGGGCTTCCCGTAGACGATGCCCTTGGCCTGAGCCGTCTCCCGGGTTAAGGGTTTAGGGTTTATGCAATCGGTCATGCGGACTGTCGCGAAGCGTTAGGGTTTAGGGTTTAGGGTTTCCGAGGTAGAAAATTCTTGAGAGCTTTGGGGTTTCGGGGTTTAGGGTTTCGGCTTTAGGGCTTTCGGGTTTAGGGTTCAGGAATGCTTAGTCGAAATTTTCCCAGAGGAGCAGGGGGCTTACTAAGTGGGGCCGTAATTTAAGTAGCTAGCAATTTTATTTACTCAATAGTCTCAAAAAACATACTTGATGACCCTACTATAGTGGTCTTTACAAATAGAGTAGGGTTTCTAGGCAGAATTTAATATAGTTACAATAAGGGACCCCAAAACAGTATTGATACTTATGAAGGCCCCTCTATTGCTTACATAGTACCCTGAGCCCTTGATCCCTAAACCAAGGTAAAAGACCGAGCCTACAGACGGCCCCCTCGATTCCAGGGCCCCTCAAAAGTTCCGTGTAAAGCGGTCCAGGAGGGTGGCACATGATCGTACTGTAGGGGTTTAGGGTTTAGCTTTAGGGTTTAGGCTTTACAAATCAGAATAGGGTTCTGGTGCATTATAACATAATCATACTAAGGAACCCGAGGAAATTATCGCCTTCAATTAAACGTCAAGACAGAATTCAAATGACATGGATTAAACATGCTTCGAGGCCTTACACCCTGTAGCACCTTGTAGTAGGATTTAGGGTTAAGGGCTTGTGGTCCATGGCAGCCCTTAAATACCTCGAGTAGCAGCCCGTACAAAAGCCGCCTCAGCAACCCTAAATCACTAAAACTAACCCTGTCCGAACCCTAAATTCTAGACCCACGACCCTGAACCCTAAACCCTAAACCGTAAACCCTAGACACAGACCCCACAACCCTAAACTCGAGACCCTAACTTCTAAACCCAAACAACCCTACACACTAAAGCCGAAGCCCTAAGCCCCCACGGCGTCCCTTTCCGAAACTTTAAACCGCCCTGGGACTGGCCGAGCTCCCCGCCACCCGCTTCTTCCGGTCGCCGCGCTTCACGCGCACACGGTAGATGCAGTAGCCCTGCTTCGCCTTCCGTGCGGGACGTGGATTATGTCTCAGGGTTTGAGGTTTGGGGTTCAGGGTTTGGGTTTAGGGCTTTGGAAAATTTAGGATTTAGGACCCTATACCCTAAACCCTAAAGTCCCTAAACGGGATGTTTAGGCTTTAGGGTAATCCTCCAGGTCCGAGGATTAATGACACCATGGCTGCGGCCAGGATATCGAAGCCCTACATCCGAGTAGGGAATGGGGAACAGGGAGACGGGACCTCAAGGGGCCATCACAAAGATCCAATCGTTCCCCTTTAAAACCCTAAACCCTAAACCCTGAACCCTCAACCCTAAACCCTAAACCCTAAACCCCGAAACCCAAACCCCAAACCCCAAACCCTCAACCCCTAAGCCCCAAACCCTAAACCCCTACACCCTAAACCCTAATCCCCAAACCCCTTAACCCTAAACCCTGAACCCTCAACCCCTAAACCCCTCAACCCCTAAAACCCCTAAAACCCTAAACCCTGAACCCAACTGTCGGAGCTGGGTTCTAAGGGCGCTATAACGGGTCTATACAGGTACTTGCAGGAGCTCTATAGAGGGTCTTAGAATGCTAGAAGTTTAGGGTTTAGGGCGTATACTTTAGGGCTTAGGGCATAGGGTTTGGGGTTTGGGGCATGGACCCAGTTTTGGACGGACCGATCAAATGTCCACCAGCCGGACCCTGAGCAGCACCAACCTCTTCTGCCACTCGGGATTGGTCAAAGGTAGTCAATCATTCCGCACGTTTGGCCAAAGAAAGCATGTCCAGCAAATGGCCAACTTGGATTTACATGGGAGTCAAAACAAGCGTGTGATACCATGTCCAGGACTGCCATTGGACCAATGGAAGTCACGTCCGGAGTGATGTATCAACTAAATCACCCCGTCTTTTCCAGCTCATCAATTCCCCCACACTCCATTTCCATTTGCGTTAGCAGTCTTGGTCAAACTGTCCCAAACAAGGTGTACCTCAGCGATCGCTGTTCTCAGCTGCAATGTTCTCCGATATTTCGGGACACGCGGTTCAGGACTCATTCAACGGTTGGGGCGTTTTGGGTCGGCGATCGAACCATCATTTTGACGACGGGAATCCCTTGTTTGGGCGGTTGTATGTGGAAGACATTCGATTGTGCGTTCTTGACACCATTGCTGCTGAGACTTAGACGTTGCGCGCGCGGCGCGGGACAGGGACCTCTGTCATCATGCGGTTGGACGACAAAAAGAACTTACCTTGGCAAACAAACCTGTGGCTTTCGATAACCCTTACAACCCCGATGATCAACCTCACCATCGTTTTACCAACTACGTGAAGTCAACTACCTACGCTGCGCAGGACGGAGTGTTCTGAAACATTGCCGCTGGTATTGTGGACACGCGCTTTCGTTGCGTAGCCAAAACTTTAATATGTCAAAAATGGGCATACGAAACTCGAGGCTTTCAGCCCACGGTCGTTTCCCAAATGCTTCATTTGCTTGACATGAGCAAGCCCAGCAATCTCACCAAGAATCGCGTCCAAAACAGCATCGCAGATAGTATTGACCATACAAAGTCCTGCAGAAAGACCCGTGATGAAGCACCGAAGACCAGAAAGAAGCCCAGCATACAAAGATTGGAACCCTTCAGTACTGTGCAACCAGACCCAGTAATAATTAGAGAGATGTGTCCAAGGATGAAGAATACAGAAACAACAGATGGGACCTGCGCAGTGAGTGCATGCGGGGTGCGCCCTAACACATTGGATTTTTCACATGACATGACATGTTGCGTCGCAGGTGCGCTGATGTGAGAATCCAACAACTATAGCCTCCTTCGCACAGGACCTACTAGTACGGGAAGGTTGCCACACTCTGGCTGGTGAGAGCCTTGAGAACTTCGATGCTGTCTCGAGCCCAACTGCACGCAGCAACCTGAAAAGTGGAACCTGAATCAAGGGGATTCAACAAAGACAAATCCGAGCCGGATGCGAACATCCAACCTTCCTGCTTAACGGTGTAAGCCCGTTTTTGTTTTGAGAAGCTCGCGGGGAGAAACTAACGGTACGCAGCATTGGGGCATTTGTCGTGGTACTTGAGGTTGATCTTCTGCATTTGAGACAATCGATACGGGCGCTTGGCACTTGGCAGCATCCTGTCGCACTTCTTGATCTCGGGGTCGTTTCTGCGTTGAGCACCCTCTTGTCAATAAAGTACACAAGCGAGCGCCGTGCTCCTGAAGGCTCGGGGGGCAAGTTGAAATGCTCCTCTTGGGAATACCTCCCGATTGCAACGTCTCCAGCTCGCAAATGCACAGCACCGAAGCGATCATCCCCCAGGTGGACGCAAAGGTTGCCGCCTTTGTTGGTCAGGGGGACGACGAAGCCGAGGCCAACGTCGACGTGCTTCAGTGTGCTGCCTTTCCCATACCAGCAAGATGTGGCTGGGGTGCCGGCTACGCAAAGATCGGACACCTCTGTAGTTAATTGCGATGCCTCAGCGAACAAGCCCCTGGCATGCTTTCTGACGGCGGCACCGACGCGGACGGACAGATTGTAACAAGTCATTGTCAGTGCCGCATCTTGGCGGATCTTGCCTGCCCCTTTAGATTGCGCACCCCAATTACAAGCTGAGCCCAGCTGGATCCCGAATGTGCCCCCAGCGCAGTCGTCCCAAAAATCGGCCTTGAAAGCCTCATCCAGCTGGCGTGCGTGTGATTGCAGTTCTTTCAGAAGATCCGTGCGTGGGGATGCACCGCCGGAGAACGTTGAGGACCACTGCATTCTGTCCTTAAATTGCACGAACCCCACCATGTGACTTCAAGTCATCACAAACGGTACCAGTATGCCGATGCAGCGAGCAAAGATCACGGCATAGCGAAAGATGTGCCATTCAGCATCTGAGGAGCTCTTAAGCGGAAGGTCTTTCTTGGTCAATCGCTTGACCAAAACTCGCGTGCTTCCTTGCTTAGTGTGCACCAGATACGGGGAATATTTCTGGTTGACGCGGAAAAGTTTCACTATGGTGCGAGGCAGAATGGAAAACGAGGTAGCTAGCTCAACTCAAACGAAAAGATTTTCAAAGCCTGAGCCGAACACTGCCACGTCAGTGGCAATTGCTTGTGCCGCCGGTACACTGCCCGAGTCCTTCGATTGACCTAGGGTTTAGGGTTTAGGGCTCAGGGCGCAGGATCCTTGAGGCTTAGGGTTGAGGGTTTAAGAGTTGGGACTGCTTAGTGCCTTCGGGGTTTACGGTCTTCGTAGTTTAGGCGCACAGGGCTCCCAAACTCCGACTTCGCAACGCCAAAACCCTAAACTAACCCTAAACCCTAAACCTAAACTACGCCGGCTTTCTTAAGCTCCTCGGTAGTCACGGAACACAAGAGAACCCCACCTTGTAGCCTTACGGTACCCTTAAGGGAGCTCCTGATTTAGGTGGAGCCTTGTAGCCCTAAACCCCAAACCCTCAACCCTAAACCCGAAGCCCTAAACCCTAAAGGCTAAACCCTAAACCCTAAACCCCAAACCCGAAGCCCTAAACCCTAAACCCCTAA